AATAAGTCTTGGGAAAAAAAAAAAAAGGAACTTGCCACACCCCCCAAAAAACTGAACAATTTCCAATGGATACTTGGTCTGCCTAGCACCTCCCTTATTCCTTCTGGAAGGTGGCTCTCACATTCCCCCAGCAATACTTCTTACCTTTCCTTTGCTCATTTACCTGCTCCCACACTCATCCCCCAACTGCCTATAACTCTTCTATTTCTTTTTTTTTAATATTTTATTTATTTATTCATGAGAGACACAGAGAGAGAGAGGCAGAGACCTCATGCATGCAGGGAGCCCGATGTGGGACTCGATCCCAGGACTCTGCGATCACGCCCTGAGCCAAAAAGGCAGATGCTCAACCACTGAGCCACCCAGGCATCCCTAACTCTTCTATTTCTTTAAGAAAACAGAAATCTTCAGAGCCACCCAGGCATCCCTAACTCTTCTATTTCTTTAAGAAAACAGAAATCTTCAGAGGGAAGTTCGCTATCTTCCCATCTACAAAACTGCCCACTTTTGTGCTCCTTTTCTCCTTCCCTCCTGTTTCAAAGATGAAATATCCGGGATCCCTGGGTGGCGCAGCGGTTTGGCGCCTGCCTTTGACCCAGGGCGCGATCCTGGAGACCCGGGATCGAATCCCACATCGGGCTCCCGGTGCATGGAGCCTGCTTCTCCCTCTGCCTGTGTCTCTGCCTCTCTCTCTGTGTGTGTGACTATCATAAATAAATAAAAAAACAAAAATTAAAAAAAAAAATTAAAAAAAAAAGATGAAATATCCCTCTCTTAGCACCATTTAACCCTTTCCTCATCACTAAAGCCAATGAATGGGAAACTTGCCCACTTTCTGGTAACCACTGTAGCTGGTCCTTAATTTCTTTTGCTCCTTTTTTCTCTACTTGACTATTAAACACTAGGTTTTAAATTTTTTAAAGATTTATTTTAGTCAGGGGAACATGGGAGGGGCAGAGGGAGAGGGAGAGAATCTCAACCAGACTCCCGGCTGAGTGTAGAGCTGGAGCAGCAGGGGAGAGGTTGACTCTGAGATCATGACCTGAGAGGAAACCAAGAGTCAAACTCTCTATCTCTTTATCTCTATCTCTACCAACTGAGTCACCCAGGCACCAGGCATATGTATACATGTGTATATATGTATATATATACATGGCATGAAGCCCACCTAAAAAATACATATATATATATATGTGGGCTTCATGCCCAATGTAGTGCCTGAACTCAGGATCCTGAGATCAAGAGTCCTGTGCTCCACCTATGGAGCCAGCCAGACACCCCTTAAATGCTAGGTTCTTCAGAATTCTATACTAGGCCCCTTCGCTTCTTTCTCCACATCCTCTCCCTAAGTGACTTCATTCATTCCCATTGTCTTGAAAATGCTGAAAATTGGGCAGCCACGGTGGCCCAGCAGTTTAGCGCCACCTTCAGCCTGGAGTGTGATCCTGGAGACCCGGGATCCAATCCCACGTCAGGCTCCCTGCTCCGGTTTCTTCCTCTGCTTGTGTCTCTGCCTCTCTCTCACTCTGTCATGAATAAATAAATAAAATCTTTTTTAAAAAGTTGCTGAAAATTCCTAGAAAGAAGTCTATAGTCTAGATCGCACAGGACTATGGTTTCATAGACCCTACTGCTTCCTACATATTTCCAATTGGTAGTTTTATAGGCATCTCAAATTTACCATATTCAAAACTGAAACCCTGGGGCACCTGGGTGGTATAGTCAGCTAAGCATCTAACTCGTTTCAGTTCAGGTCCTGACCTCAAGGTTGTGACTTCAAGGTCGTGAGATCAAGCTCTGCTTTGGCTCCATGCTCAGGGAGGAGTCTGCTGGAGATTCTTTCTCCCTCTCCCTCTGCCCCTCCCATTCATGCTCTTTCTCTAAAATCAATCAATCAATCAATCTTCAAACAAACAACAAAAAAACGGAAACCCTAATTCCCACCCAGTCTGTAAACCCATTCTTCCCTAAGTTATCCCCAATTCAGTAAATGGCATTACTTTTCATGCAACTGGTTAAGCCAGAAAATGGAAATGAACATTCTTGATTTCTTCCTCTTCCTTGGCCTTCACATCCAATCTAACAGTAAGTCCTATCCATTCTAAAGAAATCTGTCCACTTCTTGCCACTTCTCCTAGACTAAAACCAAACCACTGCCTGCCCTTGACCACAACAGCTCCTAACCAATTTCCTTATTTTTGCTTTGTCAAAGCCTCTAATCATTCCCCACAGAGCCATCAGTCGTCTTTTAAAAATGTAAATAGAAACATGTCAGATCTTCTAAAGTCTTCAAGGACCTTCTGCAGTACCTGTACTGACCATAAACACTAAACTCCTTATCTTGGTCTAAAAGGCCCTGAATAATCCGGCCCAGTTCATCTCTCCAACCTTGTCTCCTTCCCTGCCCTTCTCTCTCATCAGATCCTTAATCACACAAAACTCTTTCTCTTCCTATCTTAGGGCCTCTGCCTCTGCTGTTCCCTCGGCCTGGAATGTTTTTTCTACCCCTAGTCTTCAAATGGCTGCTTTTTCTTATCTACCAGGCATCGACTTAATTGTTTACTCATTTAAGTAGGTTCCTGACTACTTTTTTTAATCACAGAAGCCTATTCATTTCTTTCCCAGCACTTCTCATCTTATAATCATTTGACTATTCATTTTGTATGTCTAACTTCCCCACCAGACTGGAAGCTTTGTGACGATGGGATCTGTCTGCTTCACTCACAAATGACTATTCAGTGACTAGTGCTTAATAACTCTTTGATATTTGTTACCCCATTAGGAAATTCAGGGAGACTTTAACTGTGAATTCAAGAATATTGCTTTACCCATGCCATCATCAACCACAAAGCAAGGCCTATGAAGTGCTATCTCCAATGGAGGCTAGATTCAAGGAACATACCTCAGAGCTCAATATGGGCTCAGGGTTCTTCAAGGTGTGTGTGTGGGAGTTGGAGGGGGTTCACTTTGGCAAACCAAAGGAGTGAAAGGAGCCTAGTGGTTCTCTAACCAGCCTTTTTTTTTTTTTTTTTTTTTTTTAAAGGCTAGGTATGGAGCCCAATGCATGGCTTGAACGCACAATCCTGAGATGAAGAATCAGACACTTAACCAACCTTGCCACCCAAACGCCGCTCTAATCAGTCTTGTGTGGTACTTATAGTATCCATGAGTTTACTACATTTTGTAGATGATAAAGTTGAGACAAATTAATCTTTAAAAAAAATCAAGGTAGAGACTCAAGATGAACTGTGAAGACAAGCTTGGCTCCTGCACCCTTTCCTGCCTTTTCAGGGTTCCTTTCTCCAACCGGTGCCCTCTGGCTATCAGGTCTACTGTGGCAGCTTATCCAGATTTGCTTTTGGATCCTCCAAGTGTATCAAACTCATAAGACTTAGCTCCCTTTTCTGTTTGTTTGGTAGTAATCTGTCCCTTTGAAACTAGCTTGTTGGATGAATTGATCTCTCCTAAGGCACTAAATTTCTGATACAGATTCAGTTTAGCAGGGCAGTCTGGAAGTATACCTGCTACTACAGAAATGACTGACTCCTCCAGCACAGTAAGCCAAAGGAGAATTTAATCTTTTTTTTTTTTTTTTTTGAGAATTTAATCTTTGGGGCAGTTGTTCAAATGACAGTCTCATTGGCAGTTATTATTATTATTATGAATTTATATAAAGTGTTCTTTAGATAATGCACACGTTTTCTCCTTTGGTTCTCCTAATATCCCAGTAAGAGACACATTTATTAGAGTTCTTTTACATACAAGGAAACTGAGATTGAAGAAAGTTACATCTTAGTATCACCTCGCAAATGGCAGAGAACGGATCCTGTCCAGGATTCCCAATCCGCTTCCTCCACTCAAATCTTTTTCCTCTATCACTTTGCCTCCTTTGTTGGTTCTGAGATTTGCTTTGTGGGGAAGCTTTATCATGAATGAAACTGTTCCCAGGACTCTGACCTTGGTTCATGTTCAGGGTCTCAATGTACCTTACTCTGGATGACCTCGGGTAGTTTGTCCGCTGGTGAAGTACTGACCATAGAAGGTGTTGCTACAGATTTTCTCCTTAAACACTTTTAGTGTTTAGGATAGAATTTTAGTGTTTAGTGTTTAGGTTAGAATTCCAAAATACCAGTGATTTTATTAGCCATAGACCATGATGGTTTGTATCTGAGATGCTCTGGACAAACGGTATTAAGAATCTTTAACTGGGGGTAAGGTTTATATCTGCACATGACTAGTTAAAATTCAATGGTCCCATCTTTTAAGGGAACAGAGTAGATGGCAAACTCAGCCCTCTACCTGATGGGCAGGTGCTCACCACACATTTGACACTGAACATTGATCCATCAAGGGCTTTCTCACCCTGAAGAGTCGTTTAGGAAACTGGAACCTCACTCATTTGTTTCTCTGGATGCTTAACGTTCATCTGTGTATGATGTGCCCCCCTGAACTCTTGAATGGGTTTAAACACCGCCTCTCCTGTACTCTGTGAAGATGCACCAATAAAAAAAAATAATAATAAAATTTTTTAAAAAAATGCACCAATAACCAAGACTTTAGAGGGACAACAAAACACAGCTGACAGCACAGCTGATTCGCCTGAGTTTTATGGGTCATGCACTACGGGGTACATCAGTTCTCCGCAAGTTGAAAAGAAAAAGCAGTAACTGCTTTTGCAAGTGCGACAGATGCTGGAGCAAAAGAAGTAAAGCTCTGTACTTGATGCTCTCTAGAAATGGAGGCTCTCCAAGAAATTTATTTTTTTTTTTTTTGCAACGATCTCTTTGTGGAAAATTAAAAGATCTTCCAATCCAGGGCCCGGGTTCTGAGTACCTACCGTGGGGGTGCAGAGAAGGTGCGGGACCAGGCCCACTGGGGGTGGGGGGCTGGGCAGGGCGCCTCCCGGCCGCGAGGCCGCGGCGCACCCAGCGGGACCCGAACCGCCCGCCAGCCAGCACCCGGCGCACACCCCGCCGCGGCCCGCGTCCGCCCTGCATTACCCGCGCCAGCGCCCGCGGCGCCGCCTCCTTTCCGTCTTCCTCGTCCTTCAAGGCCGCGGCCGCCGCCGTCGCAGCCTCCGAGGGGTGTTCGCGTTGGGACTGGGCGGCCTGCGCTCCGGGGCTGGAATCTCCCGGGGACTGGAGGCGGGCGGCCGCCGGGGTCGCCGCTCGCTGCGAGGCTGCCATGGCCGCGCCGCCGAGGCCCGCGCTCGCCCGGGGCCGGGGAGCGGGCGCGGACTCCCGCCACCCGCGGCTCCCGGCTGGGGGCGGGCGGTTACCAAGGGCGCCGTAACCAGGGACGCTACAGGGCCCGCGAGGGGCCAAAAGGCCTCCGGACGCCCTTTCCGCCCTTCCGGCGGCGGGAAACCCGGGGCGGGCGCTTCCGGGAGGCGCGGCGCGAGGCTGAGCCTTCGCTGGCTTAGAGGGTTGGCGGGCGGGAAGGGGCGCCTGTGCGCCAGCCTCGCGCCTCGCCGCCCAAGTGCGCACTGCTCGCCTCGTACCGGCGAAACGACTCGCTTTGTAGAAAAAAGACAATAGCGCGTTTTCATTCACTGAAATAACACGGTAGTGAAGGCGGCGGCGGAAAGCAGGCGATGCTGTCGCGCGGCGACCTCAGAGCGGCCGCGTGGTTCGCACCTGTTACCTGACACGGCTCCCCCGGAGCCCGAGAAGGGGGAGCAGAGGTACGTTCTGCTGATTGACCTGAGAGCTACCTGTCTTTCTTCTTCTTTTTTTTTTTTTTCTTGGTTTGACCAATCAAAGCCCAGAGTTAGGTGGAGCCTGGCCCACCCACCAGTGATTGAAATTGCAGGTGCACGAAGCGGGCGTTTGCTGCAAGGGCCCACCAACTTGGCACAGTAGCCGCAGACACATCCCACCTCCACCTCACCCCTCAGCAGCTCCCCACTCAAGATTTGGGCGTTTCAAGAGGCGGCTTCCCCCTGTCCCATGGGACTGCGGTGCAGCCTCAGCCACCTGCTACCTAAGTCCCTGCTGCCTCAGGCTGAGGCTGCCATCACCCTCTCCTCCCTATCCTTCAGCCTCGTCGTGCCCAGGAGCCCTAAGCTGCAGCATGTGCTGCATGTGCATGTGCTGCCTAGAACTTATCTCTGAGGTCTGAGCTCATTTTCTTTTTTTTAATCATTTTTTCTTTTCTAATCAAGCTTTACATCCATCATGGAGCTTGAACCAGGACTCTGAGATCAAGAGTCAAACTCTACTGACTGAGCCAGCCAGGCACCTCTGAACTCTTCTTACCAAGTGTTTCTTGCATATGGAGCTGGAGTGTGAGTATCTGCAAAATCCTCCATTTCCCCACCTCCTTCAGGCTGTTCTTTGTTTTGGCTGAGACTTGCTTTGCATACTGGAACGGATACTGGCTGGATTCTGAGCAGAAGCTTATGAGGTATATGGATGCCATAAATATAGGGACTTCTAGTCATTCACATGCAGATGGTTCTGTGGCCACACGTGCCCCTCTTGGGGCCTGACCCCAAAACAGCAAGACAGACCTACATGCTGAAGCACTGCAAGTGGAAGATTAGAACAGAATAGAGGGAATAAGTACGGAGGACCAGTCATGTGTGTATGTAGAAGAGCAGAAAAGTTTTTATTTGCCAACAATATTCTAAATTTGCAGATACCTAATGATATAGCTGCAAAGTATATAGGGCAGAAATGGACAGATCTATAAGAGCAAAATGACAAATCTTACATCATCATAAGAAGAATGGTTTCTGTACTTTTGTATTGAGAGGTAACATACACAGTGAATTAAACATCTTGAATGCATAGTTGAATTTTGACAAATACATACACTCATGAGATCATACCACTACTAAGATATAGAACATTTACAGAGAAAGACAAATACCATATGATTTCCCTCATTTGTGGAATTTAAGAAACAAAAGAGATGAATATATGGGAAAGAAAAAAAGAGAGACAGAGGGAAGCAAACCATAAGAGACTCTTAACTATAGAGAACAAACTGAGGGTTGATGGAAGGAGATGGGTGGAGGATGGACTAAATAGGTGATGGGGATTAAGGAAGGCCCTTGTTATGATGAGCACTGGGTGTTATATGTAACTGATGAATCACTAAATTCTATTCCTGAAACCAATATTACACTATGTGTTAACTAGAATTTAAATAAAAATTTGAAATAGCAAAGAAAGATACAGGACATTTCCATTATTCCAGAAAGATCTCTTTTGCCCTTCCGAGCCTATCCCCCATTCCATCCCTTTGACTGTTCTAGAACTTCACATAAATGGAATCATGTAGTATGTACTCCTTTTGCTTTCAGGTTTTTTGCTCAGAATATTAGTTTCTTTTGGTTTTTATTTTTAATTCATCCATGTTGTGTATATGAGCAGTCTGTTCATTTTAAAGTGCTGAATAGTATTCTTTGCTGAAAGATAATAGCTTTCCAATACTGGAAGAATTTTCTTCATTTTTAATTTTTTGTATGTGTATGTGTTCTTTATAATGTAAGAGTTACGGACAAGGGATACTCTTAAATTTAATCTGCACTATTAACATTGTCTTTTTTCACTTTTTTCTTAAAGATTTTTATTTTTAATCTCTACCCCCCACTGTGAGGCTTGAACCCACAGCCCAAGATAAAGAGTTACACACTCTACCAACTGAGCCAGCCAGGCACCCCACTTTTTTACTTTTTAAAGTTTATCCATATACCTGTTGATGGTTACTTGGGTTGTTTCCTTTTTTCTCTTCTTCTTTTTTATTTTTTCTGTCAGTTTGAGTTTTTCAAGAAGCAGACACCAAGGAGTTGGAAGTGCAAGAGATTTACTGGGAGAAATTCCTGTGAAAGATAAAGGGAGGAGTAGGAAGTCTCCAGGCCAAGATATAGTCTAACATCTTAGAAAAGAGAGGGAAAGTAGAATAATTGTGTTGGAGGAGGTTGAAACTGCAATGTAACTCTGAGACAGCCTCAGCCAGGTAAAAAAAAAGAGCTCTGGCACTTGGAGTAAAGAAGTGATGTTAGAACAACATGACCCTGGGATTCTTCTATAGAACAACTGCAAAATAAGATCATTGCTTCAGCAACCAACAGAAGCTACTGAAATAGCTGAAATGTACAGAATGCAGATATGAGCAAAACAAATCTGGAGGTTACAAAGCCTTGGATAACAAAACAAGAGAAATTCTTGGGTTTGAAGAGGATGTTGTGACTGAGTTTACATATTTTGGTTTGACTGAACCAAAATAGAAGTTACTCCTTGAATTTAAGTAAATAGTACCATCACCTTATTAGGTTACAGCAGAGTAAGCGTCCCATTGTGCCTCTGACCCAACTCTTTTGGGTATATTTGGAGACTCCAGACTCCAATATTATGAGAATCAACCTGACTGGGTTTTTGAATGGAAAAAAAAAGTGCTGGAAAGTTAGTTTATGGGAGAACTTTGGCTCCTCCTATGAGACATCACTGGAATACTTTCTGCTTTCCCAGACCCGAAGAAGAAATAAAGCAGAGGCAGAATGAAAAGAAAAATTGGCATTTATGAAAAAGCAAGGTGAAAACAAAGAAAAAGAGCAGAAAGAAAGAAAAAGCAGCAGAGAGAGAGAGAAAGGAGAGAGTCTTCCTGAAGCCCAAGAAGACTCCAATTCGTCTCTTTTCCCTAGAAGATAATCCTGCCCAGTAAGGAGAGAGAGAAAGCACAGTTATGTTCAATTTCCCCATCAGAACCATGAGCCAGAGTCCTTCCCCAGCTTCAGAAAAAGAAAAACCAGCATTCCCAGAATCTTCAAGAAAACTAAAAAGAACCTTCAGTACAAGTCGCCACTTCAGTGACATCCTGAAAATTCCCCAACCTGAACCTGTACCAGAGCCTATGAACCTTTTCGGGGGGAAAAAAAAGAAAAAGAGATTTGACCAAGACACTATTCTCCTCATTCTTGACCTGGTTGGCTCACCTAGCAGCAAGCCATGCCTAGGGAGGTGGCTATCTCCTTGAACTCCATCAAGGCTTAGAAGAGAGACAGAAAAAAGTACTCATCAGCATCCTTGTCTAGAAATAGCTCATTGTCTGCTTTGTCTGGTTGCCAATCACAAAAAAACATCTGGCTCCCTCAAAAAAACTTGTAGGTTATGTCCTTCACATGCCCTCTGAGGAGAAGGCACCAACATCTCCAGCAACACCAGAAATTCATTTCCCAACCTCCCAGCAGCCAAGCTGTACCGACAAGCTCATGTTTCTGTATTTCTAAGGAGACCTTCAGGTAAAGGGACACAATATAAAGGTAATGAGAAAAGAGCCCCTCTCGCCAGCCCCAAAACCTGGAAAAGAATTCTCTGAATCCAAAGAACATAAAGGTGGCAAAATGGTTGCCACAGATTCTGTGCAGCAGAGACACCAAACCAGATGACAAAACAGCAGTCTTCATCTGACTCTGGATCCTCCTTTTAGATGATGATGAGCGACTCAAGGGGTCCCATTTGAGAAATGGTGTGGATTCTCAGGCCTCTTTCTCACCATGAAAGCCAAAGGGCCAGGAAGAGGATTCCCTTGTGGTAGGTGGATTCCCTCCTCATCTCCAGTAGAGGATGCCGTTTTCCTCCTCACTCTTCAAGACACTGGTCTTCCAAGGTCTTCCATGATGCTACCGAGGGAAGAGCCCCCTTCTCCTACCCCACATCAGTGCTCAATATTCTCAAGACGGTCTCCTCCAAAACAGATGAGATGTGTGTTTCTTCTCCACCTCCTAAACAAGGGCATCACCATCTCCACCCAAAGCACAGGGTCTTTCATTCTTCACCCTCCAAAGAAGTCGGCAACAGACTTCACCTGCATTGCTATCAAAGCATGGGAAAGAGTCTTCCCTGAGCCTATCCACCTAGAAAGAGCATTCGATCTCCCAGTGGCCTCCGGCTCCACAGACCTCAGAGTCTCCTGAGCCAGTAGCTAAACCCCCCAAGCACCTCCATCCCCTGTCCAGTCTCAGTCACCCTCTATAAACAGGTTACCCATGTCACTGATCAAAAAGACTGAAAGCCTGCCACCAAACCCATTACTGCAAGGAACCCCAAAGAAGGACGTAGAAAGAGAAAGATAGAAAGAAAGAAAAGAAAGAAAGAAAGAGAAAGAAAAGAAAAGAAAAAAGAAAAGAGAAAAGAAAAGACAAAAGTATAAAAGAAGCAAAACAGGGCCCCAAAAAAAGAAATATAAGAAGGAAGAGGCTGTGGCTGCAGCTGCTACAGCTGTTTTTAACTCCTGCCACAGTTGCTGTTCCTATAGCCATATCAGCACAAGAAGAACCAGGGCTGAGCCAAAGACTAAGAAGGAGATGGAAAATGAAGCTGAGGATAACCTTCATGACTTAAAAAGCATCTGTGGGGGGCTGAGATCAATATGAAGGCTCACATGTCCCAGTCATGGATGGAAATGTCTTGCTTGTTATTATGTAAAGTTTATTTGGTCTGTATGCAATTTGATATTGAAATTGCAAAAATGTGTTTTAACTTTAGACTATAACATTTGTTGTAATAAATGCTAAATTGAAATTCCAAGGTATTAATACAGGGGCAGAGGGTCATGAATTTACACTAAAAACAGGGGATGAACTTCTGATACATGCTACAAGGTTGATGAACCATGAAAACCTTATGCTGAGTGAAAGAAATGGCCACACGCAGTCTGATTCCACTTATATGAAATGTCCAGGATAGGCAAGTCCACAGAGACAGAAAGGTTAGTGGTTTCCCGGGACTGGGGAGAGGGGAAATAGGGAGTGACTACTAGAGGGAACGGGGCTTTTGTTTGGGGTGATGAAAGTGTTCTGGGGGATCCCTGGGTGGCTCAGCGGTTTAGCATGTGCCTTCGGCCCAGGGTGTGATCCTGGAGTCCCGGGATAGAGTCCCACATCGGGCTTCCTGCATGGAGCCTGCTTCACCCTACGCCTGTGTCTCTTCCTCTCTTTCTCTCTGTGTCTCTCATGAATAAATAAATAAAATCTTTTTTAAAAATGTTCTGGAATTAATGGTGATAGCTGTGAATATGCTAAAAACACTGAATTGTACACTTAAAATTATAAAAGTAATAAACTTCATTAAAGTGTTTTGTGTAGGATGTTGCTAAAGCAGTGTTCTAGGAAACTAATCTTAAATGCTTATGTTAGAAAAGAAAGGCTCAAAAAAAAAAAAGGCTCAAAATTAGTGAACTAATAATCCAACTTAAGAAGAAAAAAAGTAGAAGTATGGAAATACCCAAAGAAAGCAGAAATAAGAGACGCCTGGGTGGCTCAGTGGTTGAGCATCTGCCTTTGGGTCAGGGCATAATCTGGGAGTTCCAGGATCAAATCCCGCATGGGGCTCCCTGCATGGAGCCTGCTTCTCCCTCTGCTTGTGTCTCTGTACCCCTCTGTCTCTCATGAATTTAAAAAAAAAAATTCAAAGGAAAGTAGAAATAATAAGCATGTAAAACTAAAGCAGTGTAAGGCAAATATGCATTAGAGAAAATCAACAGAGCCAAAATTCTTTGAAAAGACTAATATAAGCAGAAAAGTCATAAAATAATCTCAAATAAATACCAAAAAATTGGGGGATCCCTGGGTGGCTCAGCGGTTTGGCGCCTGCCTTCTGCCCGGGGTGTGATCCTGGAGTCCTGGGATCGTGTCCCACATCCGGCTCCCGGCATGGAGCCTGTTTCTCCCTCTGACTGTGTCTCTGCTTCTCTCTCTGTGTGTCTTTCATGAATAAATAAATAATAAATAAATAAAATAAATAAATAAATACCAAAAAATTGGGCAGCCCAGGTGGCTCAGCAGTTTAGCACCGCCTTCAGCCCAGGGTGTGATCCTGGAGACCCGGGATCGTGTCCCACATCAGACTCCCTGCATGGAGCCTGCTTCTCCCTCTGCCTGTGTCTGTGCCTCTCTCTCTCTCTTGTGTCTCTCATGAATAAGTAAAATCTTAAAAAAAAAAAAAAAACCAAAAAATTTGACATCCATACATGTTTAAAACAAATCTCTTAAGAAACTGGGAACAAAAGGAAAATTCCTTAACTCGATAAAGGACATCTAGCAAACAAACAAAAAATAACAATCATACTTATTGGTGAAAAGATGGGTGAAACCAAGATGCCCACTCTGTTAATTATCTATGTAATGTTATGTAAAATACTTCCCTAAAACAATAAAACATTATTACCTCATCTAGTTCCTAAGGGTCAGAAATTTGGGATAGCTTAGCTGAATGGTTCAGGCTCAGGATTTCTTAAAGGGTAAGTCAGGTTGTTGGTTAGGAACACAGTCATTTCAAGCTCAACTGAGAGATTGGAGAATCTGCTTCCAAGCTCACTCATGTGATTGTTGACAGGCCTTAATTCCTTGCTGGCTGTCGGCTGAAGGCCTGTCTCCATAAAGCTTCTCCATTTCATAGCAGCTTGTTCCTCTCAAGATCAAATAATTCAGGAGAGAGCAAAAACCAGAGTGTCCAAGACAGAAGCTACGGTGTTTTTTGATCTAATCCTGGGAGTGACCTATCCCTTCTGTTCCATGCCTGGTGATCATATGCTATCATCCAACCCTGGTGCAATGAGGGAAAGGGTGGGGGTTACACAAGATTGTGAATACCAGAAGGCAGAAATTATTAGTTGCTATCTGGCGACCACACCCACTGTGATCATTTCTATTCTGCATTTGTACTCTAGGTCCTAGCCAGCGAGAAAGGATAGAAAAAGAAATGAAAGGTATATGGATTGGAAAGGGAGGGTGAAAAACTCTCAATACTTACAAATGACTTAATTGTGTAGAAGATCTCTCAAAAAGAGAGGTAAGTTATTAGAGTGATATAAATTAACAATGTTGGTGGATACAAAATCAATTCCATTTCTTTCTGTGCTTTATTTTGGATAGTTTCTGAGGTCATTCCCTCAAGTTAACTCCTTTTCTCCAGCAATATCTAAACTGCTGTTAATCCTATCCAGAGTATTGAATTTTTCATTTGTAAACATTTTTTTTTAATTTTTATTTATTTATGATAGTCACACAGAGAGAGAGAGAGAGAGGCAGAGACACAGGCAGAGGGAGAAGCAGGCTCCATGCACCGGGAGCCCGACGTGGGACTCGATCCCGGGTCTCCAGGATCGCGCCCTGGGCCAAAGGCAGGCGCTAAACCGCTGCGCCACCCAGGGATCCCCGAATTTTTCATTTGTAAACATTTCATTTCAATCTATCTTATATCCTTCTTTTTTCTCCTCATCATGTTCACATTTTCTTTTACATGCTTGAGTGTACATGGAAAATTTATAAAAGCTGTTTTCAGGGGGCACCTGAGTGGCCCAGTTAAATGCCTGCCTTCAGCTGAGATCATGATCTCAGGGTTCTGGGATTGAGCCCCGCATAGGGCTCCCTGCTCAGTGGGGAGTCTGCTTCTCCTCCCTCTGCTCCTCTCCTCCCACCTCGACTCATGCTCTCTCTCAAATAAATAGATAGATAGATAAATAAATAAATAAATAAATAAATAAATGTTTTTTAAAAAAACTGTTAAGTCTGACATTCTATCATTTCTGGATCTGTTTCTCTTGGTTGATTTTTTTTCTCCATTATACATAGTTTCCTGCTTCTTTATGTGACTGATGTGTTTTCAGTTTTTTTATTGTGGCAAAATATACATAAAATTTGCCATCTTAACAATTTCTAAGCATATAGTTCAGTGGTATTAAATACATTTGCCCTATTGTGTAACCATCACTACCAACCATCCCCTCGTAAAACTGAAATGCCACACTCCCAGAATGAGAACTTCCCATTCTCCAATCCTGCCAGCCCTGGCAACCACCATTCTTACTTTCTGTTTCTATGATTTTTTGAGTACTCTAAGTACTTCATATAAGTGGGATCATATTTATCTTTTTTGTGACTGGTTTATTTCATCCAGCATAATGTCCTCAAGGTTCATTTATGTTGTAGCATATGTTGGAAATTCCTTCCTTTTAAAAGCCTGAATAATCTTCCACTGTATGTATGTGTGTATGTGTTTATAATATACATATTATATGTGAATATTGCATTTTTCTTATCCATTCATTCATCAGTGGCCACTTGGGTTGCTTCCATGTTTTAGCCTTTGTGAATAATGTTACTATGAATGAGGGTATACAAGTATCTCTTTGAGAGCCTGCTTTCAATTCTTTTGGGTGTATACCCAGAAGCAGAATTGCTAGATCATATGGTAATCCTAGTTTTAATTTTTTGAGGAACTGTCCTACTGTTTTCAGCAGCAGCTGTACCATTTCATGTTCCCATCAACAGTGCACAAGGGTTCCAATTTTTTTACATCCGTCTCAACACTTGTTGCTTTCTGGCTTGGTTAGGTTTTTATAGTAGCCATCCTAATGGGTGTGAGATGGTATCTCATTGTAGTTTTAACTTGCATTTCCCTAATGTTTAGTGATGTTGGACATCTTTTCAGGTGCTTATTGGCCATTTGTGTATGTATGTTCCCTGGAGAAATGTCTGCTCAAGTCCTTTGCCCATTTTTGAATTGGGTTTGTAAATTGTTTGTTTTTTGCTTATTGTTGCTTAGTTTTAGGAATTCTGTACATATTCTAGAATTTAATCCCTTATGAAAGATAAGATTTGCAAATACTTTTCCCTTTCTGTAGGTTGCTTTTTACTCTGTTGATAGTGCCTTTTGATGCACAAAACTTTTAAATTTTTGTGAAGTCCATTTTATTTTTTTTCTTTTGTTACCTGTGCTTTTGGTGTCATATTGAAGAAATCACTGCCAAATCCAACGTGGTTTTCTTCTAAAAGTTTTATTGTTTTGTCTTACATGTACATATTTGATCCACTTTGAGTTAGTTTTTCATATATAGTGTTTGATAAGGGTCCAACCTCATTCTTCAGCATGTGGACATCCAGTTTTCCAGCACCATTTGTTGAAAAGATTGCCCTTTCCTCATTGAATGGTCTTTGCTCTCTTGTCAGAGTTCCTTAAATTGTACAGTTAGGATGTTGATTTGAGATCTTTCTTGTTTTATATTTATAAATTTCCCCCTTAGTGCTGCTTTCACTGTTTCCCATAAGTTTTGGTATGTTGTGTTTTCATTTTTATTCATCTCTAAGTACATTTTAATTTCCCTAGTGATTTTTCTTTGATCTATTGGTTGCTTAAAAGAATGTTAATTTCTACAACTTTATAATTTTCCAGTTTGCCTTGTTTTTAAATTTCTTTATTTGAAATAATTAACATGAGTTTTAAGTATATGATTTTGTATAGATTGTAAAATGATTGATATTTGTAGAGATTGTAAAGTGATCACAGTAAATGAGAACTTTTCAGATTTACTTTTAGCAATTTTCAAATATATAATACAGTGTTAACTACAGTCACTATGCTGTATTTTATATTCCCATGACTTACAGTTAGAACCTTGTACCTTTTAACCATATTCATTCACTTCACCACAACCCCCACCCCCCACCTCTGGCAACCCCCAATTTGTTCTCTGTATCTATGAGTTCATTTTTATGTTTTTAGATTCTACATATAAGTGAGATCATACAGTATTTGTCTTTGATATATTTCAGTTAGCACAATGCCCTGAAAGTCCATCCATATTGTCACAAATAGCAAGATTTTCTTATTATGCCTGAATACTATTCCATTTCTTTATCCTTATCCATTCAGCTATTGATGGACACAGGTTGCTTCCATATCTTGGCTGTTGTAATAGGATTTGTTGAAAAGGTTGAATGAATATGAAGTGCATGTATCTTTTTGAATTAGTGTTTTCATTTCCTTTGGATTAATAT